CGTCCCTGCCCTGCGGTTCCCCTTTGCCACCACCTCCCACTTCCTCAGGGACATGGGTCCACGGTCCACCGCTTAGGTTTCTTTGTCTATTGTCTGCCTCCCGACAGGGGCCAGGTCTTTGCTTTGTTCCCCGCTGCTCCCCCAGCGGCAGGCCCAGTGCCTGGCACACAGTAGGTGCTCTGGAGGAGGGGGAGCCTCTAGGGGCCGCTCTCCCAAACTCACAGGTCAGCACCCTGGGCACCTCAGTCCCCCCATCTTCCTCCGCCACCACTGGTCAGCGGGACTGGCGACCACGGCTGACACTGATCAACAGCCCGCACTTCACCTGCCACCTCCCTGGCAGCAGGCGCCCTTGTGACACAACCCCTCGGTCTCTCTTAGAGGAAGGGCCATGGGAGGGAGGGAGGGAGGGAGGGGTGGGCCACCCCTTTGGGTGGGCGCGGGGGCAGGACCAAGCTAGGACACATTCCAGGAGCCCTCAGTGTCATCTCTCAGGAGCATCCCTGCCCCACTCCACTCCACTCTGCTGCTCCTTAAAGCGCGGTCCCCGCGGCTGCCTGAGGCAAAGGGAGGGCCCGCAGCCGCCCTCTGCGCACCTTCGGGCGAGCTAACCCCACCCAGGGCTCTGATTCCTGGTGGAATCGCTGAGGCTTCCTGTCAGAGGGTCCCACTGCTCAGGCCTGCTCCCCTCCTGTGGGGGCATGTGCACGAACATACACAGCACAACACATGCCACACCACACGCCACACGCCACACACCACACACCACACACCCCTCTCAGCACTTTCAGCTTCTCCGACAGCCCCCCCGCCCCCGCTGCTCCCACCTTCCCACCCACCACTGCAGACTTCAGAGCTGCTGCCTGGAGGGGCACTGGGCTTTGAACCCTGGAACTTTCCCTCCATTAATTAAGATACTTATTTTTCTTTTTTATTCCAGCCGGACAGAGGCTAGAAGATCCACTGGGCACACAGAAAGGCTGCCTGCTAGCTGGAGGTAGGGAGGTTAGAGGGGGAGGGGAGG